ATATATTGATCCTGTGTATTTGATTTTATGATTTTATAAGAAAAAGAATAAACGTTTCGTTAGATCTTCTTATTCACATCTTTAATTAAAATATAGAATAAATATTTCGTGGAACACATATCTTTTAAAACACTTAAAAACGATAAAAATCTATTAAATAAGAAATTTCAATTACTAGTAATAACTTTCTTACATTTAACATATTAGCTATTTGTATTAATTTTAAAAAGAAATTAATAATTTTTGTATAAAATTTCTCATTTTTACTTTAGTTCGTTCACGGGTTTATAGGGATTGTGTTGTCACGGTGCGTGGTCGGGATACCATGGCCGATCTCATTAAATTGGGGATGGTCGATTTTGATGTAATAATGGGAATGGATTGGCTTTATTCATGTTTTGCCAAGTTTGACTGTCGAACCAGAACCATTAGGTTTGAATTTCCAAATGAGTCAGTGATTGAATGGAAGGGGGATGATGTGGTGCCAAAGCGTAGGTTTATTTCTTACCTTAAGGCCATGAAGATGATTAACAAAGGATGTATCTACCATTTGGTTCGGGTTACGGACACCGATACTGAGGCACCTACACTTGAGTCTGTGCCTGTGGTGAATTGTTCCGCTTCAATTACTCTAGATAATTTACTTGATTAATTAGATGAACGGTTTCTTGTGGAGGATTTCCTATTTAAGGGGTTTAAGTGTTTATTTTTTTTCAAAATAGAGATAAGCTATTAATTTTTTGTATATAATTTAAGTTTATGTGCTATGGATCAAGACTTTTTTGTATAGACATTTTACAAGTTAATTGAGTACCTCTTTTATTTTGTTTTGATTATTCGGTATCGGAATCCATTTACCAGATACATTCAAATTCGCACCGAATAGGCCAATTGTGGAGAGGCGGTGGAGAGGTAAAGCACTCCCTGTCAAAAAATTCTCGGTTCACAAAGCACCTCATGTTAAAATGGAAGGATCTCAATCATCCCATCTACTCTTGATGGCAGTACTATCTAAGTTGCCATATTGCGAGAAAAAGTGTACAATTGGGTTATCTGCTATATAAGTTTTTTTTTATAAATCTGCTATTTGAACTGGATATCTCGTCTTTACGGTTCGCTTTCTTTGTTTTATCTTGCGTTTTAAATAGTAAACTTCTAAGTTTTATTTTTGGTTGGTACAGATAACGAACCGATAATGCATAGAGAAGATGGAAATACATCAACCATAAATTGACTAATATTATTTCTTGATCACCAACATTTGATGCTTCCGATTAGTATAAGAGACGATTCGAAAGATATATCTGGTTACATTTAATTTGTCGAACACAGCAACTTGTACACCTTGTTATATATGACATAGTAGTACGTAATAAATATACTAACATTATCTTTAAGTAGCAACTTTATTTATAAAAAAAAAAAAAAAAAAAAAAAAAAAAAAAAAAAAAAAAAAAAAAAAAAAAAAAAAAAAAAAAAAAAACTAGCTTCTCCAGAAATCGTCCAAGTCGTCTCTTAATTAAATATTAGGAAGCATCCAGTTTATAAGTGTCGATGAAGTAGTATTAATAAAGTAAAAGTTAGTTGGTGTATTTAATATGAAAAAAAACAAGTGAAAGACTTTGGAGCAGTATTCCAATAAAGTCTTCCATTGTCCTCTAGCTAGCCCTTAATTTGGAGGTCCCATTATTTCAGAGTTTTTTTTTTTTTCCAGAAATGGCACCGCTCCCAAAGACAACCATACAACATTTCACACACCCAAAACATCCATTAACAGTATATGATTCCAACACAAAATACTTATGTGATGGTTGCAAGATCCCTGGCATAGGTAAAAGATATCGCTGCCATGGTTGCGAATTTGACCTGCATGAATACTGTGGAATATGTCCAACAATTCTTTCTTCTTTTATGCATCTGAACCATTCGCTCAAACTTGTCGTACGCAAGCCACAAGGCAATCGTCAATTCGATCGCATCTGCAATATCTGCTGTGATTCTGTTGAAGGCCTATTTTATAGGTGTGAGGTTTGTGAATTTGACGTCCACCCTCTCTGTACTCAGTTGCCTGAAACACTACGACATGCTCTACATCAGGTAATTTATTAGAAATCTAAACTATCTAATTGGGAAATGTTGTATGGAATTTTTGTTCATGGATCGCGAACATTTTAACAATCTAAATATTAAAACCAATACATTATAGGATGACTTTCACAGTTTTACTTTTGAATGCATCATATTAATCACTTATCGAGGAAAGTGTAACTTAATTCATAATGATTTTTTAAAAGACGTTTAACATGATATTGCCCTTTCCACTTGCAAAAGAATGTGAAACTGGAATTTTTTCTCCATTCAGCCTCTTTTCTTAGAAAAGTTATATACTCCCTCTCTCCCAATCTATGTGACACCGTTCAAATTTTGAGAGTTAAATATTTTAATTTTGATCATAAAATAGAATCTTTAAGTTTTTTAATACTACTCCCTCTGATTTACTTTATGTGAACTTTTTCGGTGTACAAGGGTCAAACTAACTAGTTTTCGATGTGAATTTGGACATAGAATTCATAGAATTTTTGAAATAAAATTAAGATATTACTACTATAAGTCACAATAATTAACAATTTAAAATATTTTAAAAACTATTTGTCAAAAATATGGTTTAAAAAAATCTTGTTTGACTCTCCAAATAGTAATAGATTCACATAAATTAAAAAGAAGGAAGTATACATGACAATAATTAAAATATTTAAATAGCATATGAAAAAATTGTTGTAAAATAATATTCGTTTGACTTTCGAAATACAAATGTTAGCATATAAATTGGGGAAAAGAAAGTAATTATATCTTTCATGTTAGAGCTAGAGGATCAATCCTTAATACTTTGTAATAGTCCACTTTAAAAAAGTTACTATTTCGTAAAAGCTTAATGCATATACTGAGTTTCCAACTTACATAANAATCCCCATCAGGCCCCCCTCCATCAGGCTTAATTCAAAAAACAAAAGAAATTACACGATTTTGCAAAGTCTCCGCCTATTATCTAGAGTTTTCCCATTAACATCTCTACAATATTCACATAATTAACACCTGCGCTTTTTAAAAAAAAGTTCTTCTCCCTTTTGATTCCCGAAAGCATTGCTCAAACCCACGACTATAAAGCTATAGGTGGGGTACTGACAGCAACCCCTTTTGTCTACGTGTTTAATATATGAATAGCTCTTTGGTATCTAAATAAACCAAATACTATACTAAAGATTACGCAAGCATTTTGATGATGATTGTAAATTCAGGCCCATCCTTTAAGGCTTCTAGGCTCGTCCGAAGCAGGAACCTGTGCTGTTTGTAGAGGAGCATGTAACGCTTCTACATGGCGTTATAGGTGTCAACTATGTAAATTCGATATTCATATGGGTTGTCTTATGGTACAATGTGAAAAGAAAACATCATCGGACAGAGGAATTCCTACATACGTTCCACCATCTGTATTCCCTCAGGCTCAACCACAACATTTTGGTGGTTATGCTTATGGGGTTCCATATTGGAATCCTAATTCTAGCCCATCTTTTCCTAGTCCATCTAACATGCACCATTACAATGCGCCACAACCACAATATCAAAGTAGTGGACGAATTGGGCAAGTGATGTTTGGTCTGGTGAAAACACTTGGGGTTGGAGTGATTTCTAACATGATATTTGGAGTGGATGTGTCTCCATTGTTTGCTGTTTAATGTAACTTCATTTCATCCTCAGCTATGGTAAGCGTTTTACGAGAAAACATTGAGTCTCGGATTTCATTCCAAGCAGTCCCATGTACTATCCCGTTGTTTACTTTATTGCTATATGGATTCAATTTATAGTCATTGACAGTGTAATGAAACTCTTACACATCAGTGCATATAATTTAACTGTTGTAAACTGTTATTAATTGTTGATAAATTAATTTATTTCAAAAGATATTTTGGAATAGTACGTGGCTTCTTGCATGAAGCCATATGTCCATGTGGCAATATCTTCAATGAAACTTAACCAATTGTCATGCTAAATGACAAGTGATATATGTGTGGACAAGTGTATAAGTGTCCAATACACTAGTCTTATTGCTAGCCATCTTTAAAGCCTATATATAGGCTCACATTATACTAAAAGATTATCAGAAACATTCCCTTTCTTTCCTTTCCTTCTTACCCGTTTTGGTCAGTATGCTTTCCAACCAAAGCTTTAGTAATCTCCATTAATCATTAGCTATTATTCCTTAATAGCTAGCCACGGAAAAATAGAGAAAACCTTTATTTTTTCTTTAAGAAATTTCTATTCTAATTATTCCTTAAGATTTGCTGGTATATTATTTAATTTTGTTGATTTCTGTATCCTCTAAATAAACAGAGATGTGCTTGTTTAATCCTGGAAAAATATTTTACATTGCTGAAATAGTTTCTTAGGACAGTGCCTAGCACGACTCAAGCCAATCTGTGTGTTTCCGCTTACAAATAATATCATTGTAATATTATTATCGTTATTTTTCGGTGTCATTTTCCTACAATCTAAGAAACTATGGCAAGTAATACTACTACGAAAATTTTTTATGGTGCTACCAACTTTGGTATTGTCTCCGCTACTACTGTTCCATCTGTCCTGCCAGATATTCATGGTGTTGCAAATACGTTATTGCATCCACAACTTGAGTAGACACTGATATCAAAATACAGGTATGTAAATAGACATGGTTATATATCCAATGCTAATATTAAAACCTTCAAGAAAAATGCACCTCAATGCAAGAGAAGAGTTGAGATAAATGACAATCTCGCTAAGTTAAAATTAAATTTGACTAAAGCGGATAACATAATTATTGCAGTCATTTTCCAAATAAATAATGTGACTAATGTGAGAAATTCGGTGATAGACTCTGGTGCTACTAGGCACATTTGTGCAGACAAAAATAAATTTTTGTCTTACACCCAAGTTGAGGAAGGAGAAGAAACTATTTATTTTGGTGACTCAAGAACAACTCGCATTCTTGGGAAAGGAAAAATTCTTCTCAAACCCACATCTGGTAAAACTCTAGCATTGAGTGATGTATTGCATGTACCTAATATCTAAACCAATTTGGTTTATGTGGGATTATTAAGAAAAGTTGGAGTGAAGATTTCTTTCGAGAATAATGAGGTCGTATTGACCAAAAATGATATTTTTGTGGGCAATAGATATTGTAACCATGGTTTATTTATGCTTAATATTTCTGATACTAGCAATGAAAATGCATCTTCTTTTGCTTATATGGTTGAGTCAATTTCGTTGTAGCATGCTAGACTAGGACATGTTAATGTCGCGTATATAAAGAAAATGCAGTCACTAGGATTAATATCTGGTATAGACTCAAATAAAATTAACAAGTGTGAAATATGTGCTGAAGCTAAAAGTACTAGAAAGACATATTTTTCTGTAAATAGAGAAACTGATTTGTTATCCTTGATTCACACTGATTTAGGCGACTTAAAGCAGACTATGACTAGAGGGGGTAAAAGATATTATGTGACTTTTATTGATGATTTTTCTAGATATACTAAGTTGTATTTGCTTAGAAATAAAGATAATGCTTTTAATGCTTTTATTTCTTATAAAACTGAGGTTGAAAATCAACTTAGTAGAAAAATCAAGGAATTAGATCTGATAGAGGTAGAGAATATATATCTTTGACTGAATTTTGTGAAAACAATGAAATTATTCATGAAGTAACTCCGCCTTATTCACCTGAGTCAAATGGAATAGCTGAAAGGAAAAATAGAACATTGCAAGAGATGATAAACTCTATGTTAGTTAGTTTTAATGCTCCTGATAATTTGTGGGGTGAAACTATTTTATCCGCATGTCACTTACAAAATAGAATACCACATAGAAGAATTGGCAAAACTCCTTATGAATTGTGGAAGGGTTATAAACCTAACTTGAAATATTTAAAAATGTGGGGTTGCCTTGGTAAAGTTCTTTTGCCTTAACCTAAAAAGAGGAAAATAGTTTCTAAAACTGCTGATTGTATGCTTATTGGATATGTTGAACATAGTGCTGCATATAGATTTCTAGTATTAAAAAGTGATGTGCTTGATTGCAATACTATAATTGAGACAAAGAATGCAGGGTTCTTTGAACATATTTTTCCACTGTCTGATAAAATTTCTCATACACATGTTGAAACAAATAATGAAATTACCTCTAATGAGGAACTGAGAAGGAGCAAAAGGCCTAGGAAAGAATATTTTTTTTATGAAAATGATTTTCAAACTTTCCTTGTCGATAATGAACCATCAAATTATTTTGAAGCTATATCTTCTTCAGAAGCTAATTATTGGAAAGAAACAATAAAAGTTGAAATCGATTCTATTTTGAAAAATAACACATGGATTTTAACTGATTTACCTGCTGATGCAAAGCCTATTGGTTGTAAATGAATTTTCAAAAAGAAATTTAATCCTGATGGATCTTTAGATAAATATAAAGCTCGGTTAGTAGCAAAAAGATTTTCTCAAAAACAAAATATAGATTATTTTGATACATTTGCACCAGTGACTAGAATTGCTTCTATTCAAGTTTTAATTGCCTTAGCTTTAATCCGTAAGCTTTTTATCCACCAAATGGATGTCAAAACTGTTTTTCTAAATGGTGATTTAGAAGAAGAAATTTATATGGTTCAACCTGAAGGCTGTGTCATTCCTGGACAAGAAAATAAAGTTTGTAAATTAATTAAATCTCTTTATGACCTTAAACAAGCTCCTAAGCAGTGGTATGAGAAATTTGAACAAGTCTTACTGAGAGACAATTTTTCTTCAGTGGAGGTGGATAAATGTGTTTATACTAAAGTGGTAGACAATGATTAAATAATAATATGTCTATATGTTGATAACATGCTTATATTTGGTACAAGTTTAAATATTGTGCAAAGTACTACATTATTTTTGTCTGCTAATTTTGATATGAAAGATCTGAGTGAAATAAATATAATTTTGGGAATTAAAGTTATAAGGAGTGAAGATGGAACAATGTTGTCACAAGAACAATATGTTGAGAGACTTCTTAAGAAGTTTGAATATTTTAATGTCACATCTGTGAGCACTCTTTTTGATGCTAACTCTCAGTTGAAAAAGAATAATGGTGACCCAGTTGCTCAGTCTAAATATGCGTAGATTATTGGGAGTTTGATGCATTTAATGAATTTTACAAGGCCTGACATAGCCTATGCTGTGTGTAGACTGAGTAGATATACTCATAATCCCAACAGAGATCATTGGTTTGCATTAGATAGACTAATAAAATATTTGAGAGGAATCGTGAATTATGGTATCCTATATAGTGGATTTTCTTCTACCTTAGAAGGATACAGTGATGCAAACTGGATCTCTGATTTAGATGAGACAAAATTCACTAGTGGTTATGTATTCACCCTTGTGGTGGTGCAATATTGTGGAAATCAGCTAAACAGATGATCATTGCTAGATCGACTATAAAATCAGAGTTTGTAGCTCTGGAGTTAGCTAGTTCTAAGGCTAAGTGGCTAAGAAACTTCTTAGCTAATATCCCTTTAATAAAGGACATATTGCATTTTGTGTCTATACATTGTGATTGCCAAATGGCAATAGCTATAGCAAAGAACAAATCTTATAATTGTAAAAGTAGACACATAAAATTGAGACATGATGTCATAAAGCAGCTACTGAGAGATGGAATAATTTTCATTGATTATGTGAAGTCAGAAGTTAATTTGGCCGATCCTCTGACTAAACCTGTGGGAAGAAAATTATTTCTTCAAACCTCAAAAGAGATAGGGTTAAGGCCGACATGTTGTCAATAGAGATGGTAACCCAACTTATGTGATTGGAGATCCCATGAAGTAGGTTCACATGGGAAATAACAAGTCGATATTGGCACTGAAGCACTAAAAGAGAGTGCTTGACTGCTACTAATTGAGAGGATGAGTAATATCTCTTAACGAAATTCATAGTCATTATGGATGGTGTATTTAAAAGCAGTATACACTTGATGAATTCACCTATATGAGAGTGGAGTGGGGCCGCTCCTATGAGATTTTGGCCTACTTTTTAGAGCTCTCATGAATAACCAGGCACGCACATGGCCTATTGGGCGCAAAATCGCGTTGAACAGCAAAATTACCTGGGGTCAAAATGTGATTGATAAAATCTCTGACTTATAATAAGAATTATTGGTTCATAGAAATATTATATTTCACCAGTAATTCTGTGAGTTAAATTTTATTGATCTAAGTTTGGTTCATTGTAACGACCCGACTTGTCGTTTTAAGAATTTAAGACCCGCCTGGTGGCATAAGGCCCTGAGCAGCTTCTTATTATATGTATTGACTTGCGTGCGTGGTTGAATTCAGTTATCGGATTATTTGGAGTGATTTGGGATATTTGGTCCCCAAAACGGAAGCTTAAGTCTTAGGATTTTTACCGTAGTCGGAATTGTATGAAGATGACTCCGGAATAGAATTTTGATGATGTCAATAGCTCCGTATGGTGATTATGGACTTAGGAGTGAGTCCGAAAAATTATTTGGAGGTCCGTAGAGAAATTTGGCTTGAAATGGCGAAAGATGAATATTTGGAAAGTTTGACCGGGGGGTTGACTTTTTGATATCGGGGCCGAAATCTGATTCTGGAAATTGAAATAGCTTCGTTATGTCAATTATGACTTGTGTACAAAATTTAAAGTCATTCCAGATTGGTTTGATGTGTTTCGGCACAAGATATAGAATTAGAAATTTTAAAGTTCATTAGGCTTGAATTGGGGTATGATTCGTGGCTTTGATATTGTTTGATGTGATTTGAGGCCTCGATCAGGTTCGTGTTATATGTTGGGACTAGTTGGTACGATTGGACGGGGTCTCGGGGGCCTAGGATTTGA